ATAAGGCTGAGAATCAGGAGACTTGGTTTCAAATCCTGGATCTTATCACTGATTCTGTGTGAGATTGGGCAAGTCACCTGATGTGATCCTTAGTTTTTTTGTGTAAAAAAGTGATAATTATACTTATCTAGCTCACAGTTGTGTTTTGAGGCTTAGTGAATCACTTTGTAAAGTGCAATATAAATTCATAATAGTGTTAAGTTCAACCAGTGGCACTAATGGAAACAGACGTCACGACTAGAGCTGTGTGAATAACTGACTTTTCGGTTGGCTGGCGATTCAGAAAGGGGAAAAAACCCATGTGGGATAGACCCAAAAATTAATTTTTATGAAAATTTCAGAGATGAAAAGTTAAAAAAAAATTGTCAGGTCAAACAACCCATTTTGCTGGACCCAAACTGAAACATTTTGTTTCAATTTAAAGTACTTGTTAACATATTTTTTTAATTGAAGGCAATTTTGAAATAGTCATTTCAAACCAAAAAATCCAAAAGTAATGTTCTTCTTTGAGTGATGGTCCCTTTACGTATTCCAGACATGGGGGGGTGTATGCACGCCAGACATTTTAGCAGCAGTGTCAATTGACGCGCACACACGTCTTACCTTGCCTCATGCTGCATGCGAGGTTATAAGAGGCCGTGCGGGGTGGTGCCCCCTAAATTCCATCTTACCGCACGGTCGTAGTCGGAATCTTCTCTTTGCATGCACGAGAATGATAGTCTGTTGGTATATAGTTATTTTGTTCCGTTTCTTTCTTTCTTCGTTCTGTAACTAGCGTAGTTAATTTAGCTCACCCCACACGGGACCTAGTCGGGTGTTTCTATGCCCCACATTCTGGGGTTTAAAAATTGTGTCTTGTGCCCTCGCTTGTTCTCTGTGAGCAATGAACATGCTCGTTGTCTCTACTGCCTGGGAGAGGTGCACCTCGCCACCCACCATCTCCCACCCAGATCCAATGGCACCACCAATAAGGCAAAGGAGAGCTTCAAGCACTCCAATGGACACTGCAGCAGCTCCCTGTTGCAGACTAGTTTGATTCACGGCATTTCCTCTCTGAGCCATACCCGTTTGGGTGAGATGTCGCGTGCAGACCTCACCACACCACTCCCTAAGGCAGGGGGTAAGGCCAAGCGGAAAAGACAGATGCCGGCACTGATGGTCCCTGCGCTGATTGAGTGATGAGACAGCCCACTGGGATGTGCCCCTCTGCCCCAGCAGGACACATTAGGCTCTGCTCTGTGCACCCCCTCGGTTCAGTGGCCAGCGGGACGTGCCCTGGATGCTGGAACAGGTGGAACTGTTGTTCCTGGTGACACACTTCAACTTACTGTACCCGCCCTCACCACTTCTCTCAGTTCCCTAGCCTCCTACACTAGCAAATGCACCGATCCTCCTCAGCTGGGACCCACCTCTGCCGGTCACAGCACCACCTGCATCCACAGCTCCACCACTACTGGAGGTTTCTTTGGACTCAGAGAGCTTCTCGGCAGAAGAGCCATCCTTCTTGCTAGTCTCCCGACATAGTTCAGACTCCCAAGCACATCTGCCACACCAGACAGACTACACTCCAGTCCCACAGGGGTGGGACCCATATTCTTGGGGCCTGCAGTACCCTAAGGACCCAACCTCCTGGCAGCAATGGCCCACATGGGACCCTTACCACCAGCTGTACCCACTGTTGATGGTCTTGCACCATTCCACCTGGGTCTCTCTGCCAGAACCAATTGGCTCAGACCCAGAAGAGGACCCAGAACACAACCTGGTACTGCCATTCCACAGGTCCTGATGGTGGCTTCCTCCTCTCTAGATGAGGCCCTAATTCCCGCTACCCTCTCACCTCCTGACAATCACCACCAATCCCAGGAGTTGCTGCAGAGGGTGGCCCTCGACTTGTGCCTCCCCCAGAGGAGGTCCAAGACCAACCTCACCAGCTGCTGGACATCCTCCAGCCTCGGGGACAAATGCACATTGCTCTGCCCCTCAATGAGGCCATCATGCACCCTGCATGGGTGGTGTGGCACATGTTGGCATCCTGAACCCCAATGCCTATGAGGGCTGAATGTAGATAATTTGTGCCATCTAGTGAGGGCTGACTTTCTTTTTTCCCAACCCACCCCAGCCTCAGTAGTGCTGGCATGGCCATGGAATGGGCATGCCAGCACTCCTCTACCTTCACTTCTCTAGATAAGGCGGTGAAGCACCTGAACTCACAGACCACAAACTGTAGTTCTCTGCGGCCCTGCAATTCTGTATATTGAACTACCACCTCCACCTCCTTCTCTGATGGCATTTTTTTCCAAATCTACAATTGGGTAATTTCATGCAACAGTGGCATTTTGAGTTTGCATGTGTGAAATTTCTTTGGGTTGCAAAATCATGAGATACAAATCAGAAAAGCCTTTTGCACCACCACCCCGCATCTGACTTTCTGAATTAGTTACTTTTAGTAGCGCCTTCATATAAGCTTTTTTTTAAAAAAAAAAACTGTTTGCTCCTTTGTAAAAATACAGAAAAGCCTGTGGGTCCTGAAGTTTACATCCTCATTTCTTACTTTGTATCAAAACTCATGTTTTAGAAGAAAAAATTGCAAAAGCAACTCTAGAGTTGTAAAGGGCAATGATGTTCTTCCTATTTTAGAAAGAACTGAGATTACTGTTATTTTGCAAGAAGCATCTGGATAATTTGGGGACTTGTATGTGCCTCTGATTCTTTTGAAATACCTTTGAGTCTGGGATTTCACTGAGACTCTTTGTGGCGCTTTTTATATTCTCTGGAATATTTTGCATTTGACCTTTTGAAAATTCAGTGCCTGATCTGCTACACACACAAGATCATCTGTACCTCTGCCATTACCTGGTTCTTCAGATCAGTGATTGGGCTGTAGAAAATTCCTATCTTATTGCCCATACTTAACATCAACTTTCCTAGTGCTTTTAAGCTCAGACTCAATCATGTTCAGTGTTGTTTTGAATTTCTGCCAGTCAGTCACATGGGTACAGTGATTTCTATATAACAGAGAAAGAAAACTAATGATGGTTCAAAAGTGAGTAATGAAATGATTGCATTTTTGTATAAATCAGGCTTGCTGTTTTTCCTGTGCATTTCACAAAGTGTTAACTCACCAGAAAGGCTCAGTGTTAATAAAGAGAATTGGTAATGTGAGAGTCATGAGACTTTTCAATCATGAGATGTTTAACTGGCATGTACTGCTGCATAGCTTTTGAGTGAAAACTATGAATCGACTGCTTTACCCACAAAATGACTCTTTGTAGATGTGCAAAAGAGTATAAATACCTAGCAGAAAACACATGCATCTTTTCAACAGTAATTCTGCACGCAGAATCCTTTATCTTAATCCATCCAAATATAGACTGAACCTATAGTCTATCAATTCATAAATACCAAGAAGCAACAGTACAGTAGTATTGTGAATTCTTACATGCCTTCTTCTTAAGCTGGACAAACAAGTCTTATGGCTCTATTGGGAATTGAAACTACCTTTGCTGATTTGCCTTCCCCAAACTGGAGAGGTGTTTGTAAATATAATGAGTTTGTTGAAAATACAGAAGATGGACAAAACGGGATTATCTAAATATGTCAGCTGTTTAGCTCTTCAGAAAAGGATGAAAGCACTTTACACCATATTATATCTCTTTGAATTGTGCCAGTTAACCTTTGTTCTTGGTGTTTGATATGTTAGTTTGGAACATTTCCTTGTTCTGTTCAGTTTTAGGTACAGCTTTCATAGGTATTACAAATATAAGATAGTAAATAAAATTCTAGTAAGTATAGTAGTACAGTAAACCATATACAAGGACCATAAGCACAAGATGGAAAGATCTTAAAAATTCTGACTATAAAAACAATGTCAGCTAAATGGCTAAACATCTTGATTGAAAAAGAAATCTAGTCTGTTGATCCTTTAAATTGAGTGATCCCCTACCTCACCTTTCTGGTACCATAACAGCAGGCCTAATGTTGCCCCTTGAAGCCAGAGTGCAAGGTGAAGAAATTCATGTTCAAACTTTCAGTAGTGTTTAATTGATCAGGACTCTAACAATGGGGGTTTGTATTGTAATCGACTCCATGGCAGGAAGTCGCTGTGAGTGCTGTGGCATACCAGCGCTCTAGACGTCTACGGGACACCCAGCATGATACCACACCAAGCACCAAGGCCCTCCAGGCACTAGCTCTCAGTTGGTTTCCATAAATGCTCAGTCTGATGACTGCCAAAGAAAGCTTCACTAGGGCGCCAGAAATACACCTTGCAATTACGCTCTGCACCACTGCTTTCAGTTACAAACAAAAGATGAACTAGCACTTCCTAACTCAGTCCCTGAGGTCATCCAGGATGAGGGAATGACTGTGGGCCTCCTCTTGCCTAGTTCCAGGGATGTTCATTGCAAGCCACCTCTCTTCCCGAGGTAGCAACACCCATAGATCCCCAGCCAGAGTCCAGTCCTTTCATCCACCTCCAACTCCTCCTGTTGCAACCAGTGTAGGATTTCCTTGGAGACTGTACTGAGTTCTGGAGGTACAGAGATCCCCTTGCACAGCTGTTCCCGCACACCACCAAAGGGCTTAAACAGCGGGATGGGCCTTGCACAGGGCCACCACTCCAGGGTGAAGTTCACCCTGTGTTTGTAAATTTGTAGACTGACTCTTCTTGCACTTCAGGAAGAGCTTCCTGGTTTTGGTTTTGGTTTGCTGGTTTGTTTTTCTGATAGCCTGAATTATATTAAAAACTACAGCACTTGTCTAACTTTTAAACTTGCAATCGTTTTGTAATTTATAGCATTGTCACCACATTGTGAAATCACTAAAGTCAAATCATTTTCTTATTCTAGCTCTGCATTTCAGAGCTGCATCCAAACAAGCAGGAATGGTAATGGCTGTCAATAGAGCTCTTGACAATACCTTTAAAGTGAAAGAACCGAGTAAACATTTGCTGCATGTTCTCTGTTAGATGTCTATGAAAATTTTATCCATCTCTTCCACAGCTGCACAGTAATGGACAGAGCAGGCATTCATGATATATATGTCTACTGCCTTTAGTCTGGGAGATGCCACTATAATGCTTCTAAATCTGTTTGATGTGTAAGATTAAATACGACATCAATGTTCAGCAAACTTTGCGGACTTTGCAAATACCCAGGTACACCAGCATTGTTTATCATATACTAATTTTTATTGACACTGTGAGAGATGATCCTTTAAAATAGAGGCTTATGGTTTTTGCATCAGCTGGAGTAATTTTTTAATGTTAAACTAAAATCTTTAAAAAGGTCTCTCTTAAATGTGCATTATACAGTCAAATTAAATGACAGATTTCCCTTCCCTCTCCCACCCAAACTCAAACCCCCTTTTCTTTCCTCTCTGGAAAAAAAGTATTAGCACAGTTTAAAATAACTGTAGGTAAAGATCTAAAATTGAAAATAGGCTTGGAATTCTTTTAAATGACACTGCCCTAAAAGTCTGGGAAATACACAAATGAGATGTCAACTCCAGATAAGCATCAGCCAGATTTACAGAGGCGATTTGCTTAAGAAACATTTACAAATGTGGAAAGACAGCATTTAATATTATATATACTGTGAATAGAGCGATCACTTGATCTTACATTTTAAAAAAATAGCAAACTCTCTCTTCTCGTGGGCTCTGCAAAAAGATGGATGCTGCCATTAATTATCAGCATTCTAACCTACTTTAAATTTACTAAGATGCTATAAAAGTTTGTTTTTTTGATAAATCTCTTTTTTACAAATAGATCTGGTCTAAAATGGTTTGAGCATGGGACAATAAGCCAAGAACTCCCGAGTTCTAATGCTGGCTCTGTCACTGTCTTGCTGTGTGGTCTTGGCAATCCCTAAACCCATACCTGCTCTCCGGTTTTGATTCATCTAAAACTGAAAGGGGTCTATTTTTTACGTTTGGATGTGGCTAAAACCTTGGTAAATCATCGGTTCTCCCGAGATTTCTGCCACCTTTGGGCCATGACCTGATGGTAACAGCTGATCTTCAGAGTGTAGCTTGTGAGTTCTCAGAATCATCTTAACCTCAGCCCTAGCTCTGATTCACCCTTGCCTTGACATTGAACTCTATCCAAATGTGAATGAGAGCTGAATACCAACACCTCGGCCCACCTTTCCTATCCAGCCAGAGTTTGGGCTGAAAACTGTGTACAGCTTGTTGGTTTGATACGGATTTAACTTCAAACCAGACAAAATGTAGGAACTGTGAAGAATTTCCTATTTGTTCAAAAATAGGCCTGCACTGAACCTCTGCAAACTGAAATTGCTGAGTTTTCCACAGTTCTTCCCTGCAACTCTTAGGGAAAAAACACCAAAAAAAGAGAGAGAGAGAGAAAGAGAGAGAGAAATGTTGAAATGTTTTACTTACAAAATCCCCTATACAGTACACTCTAAGTGAAGTGAGCTAGAACATCTCAGTGTTTAGAAAGAGGGGAAATATGTTCACTTTGAAGTTTTCCTAAGGGTGAGAGTTAGTATAATAAAAATATGTGCAATAAGTTTAATAAAGTGTCAATTTTGACTTTATGCAAAGGTAATAGTCATGTTTTCTCATTACTGCAGGAACTGTGCTCTGCCGCAATGAAGAGGGAGACAGTTATGCAAATAAAAATGGGTCCCACCCTTGTCCATCATGCAGTACAGCAATTGAAATCAAGGATGTACCTTCTCTCTACTTCTGTTCTCTGTGGTTACTGAACTTTTAGCACATATAATGAAGACTCATCCCTCACAAAGCACTTAAGGGTTAGTCGTATATCACAGGATTCCCCGCTATATCCTATTTTTATTACAAACTCATCCTGCTTTTATTTCATTTTTTTTACTAGGCACAATTAATAACAATGAGAACTTGCCTGGATATAAAGTTAATGTTAAATTCTTGTGGTGCCGATGACTGAAGGAAGACTATTTCCTGATAACTTACATTTCAAACTACCAAATATATCAATTATGTGCCTTTTCACGTGCCAATCCATGGCTCTTCACTTGATATATGACATTAATTGCATCTCTTTGCTGAAGGGGAATCGCATCAGAACTTGGCTATAGGAAACTAGTCTTTGCACTTTAAGGTGAAACTAAAATTGTATTTTTAAAACAAATCATCACCTTGAATTATGTTTGTCAAACATTTCCTTTTGGAGACTGCTTCAAACATTGCCACAATTAATGTAGCTATGCGCAAGTTAGCCAAACTTAAGTAGTAAGAGCCAATTTACTTATTCTTTGTACTGAGGTTTTTCTTTGTAATAAGCTTCATGGCCGGGCTTGCTCTCACTCACTGCTGTGTAGCTTGTAAGTTAGCAGTAGAGTGAAATTGGTGCCCAGTGTGCCTAACCAGAAGTTTCAAGCACCAAAAATCTGGCCTTTCATTTGCCTTCAGGAAAGGGATCGTGTTGCTAGGAATCCAAATTATCATGATTTATTTATACAATGTACAGCAACTCTCACAATTAAAGAAAACCCCACAAGTGTTTTGCTCCCTTTTCTCCCTTGTAAAGTGTACCAACTTTGTGGTATCACTGCAGCAATCCATGAATAATGTATGAAATGAAAAAACCTCCTGCAGAGGGAATATATATACAGTGCTTTGCAGTTGTTGTATCTATACTATTTGCATCTCACTAAAATATATCTAGAAATGCCGTACAGGACTAAAAGTGTGCCTCTGCCTTTCTACTTCTGGACAAGATTTTAGAGAGCTACCAAACTTTAAAAACATCCTAGCCCTTAATAAAATGCTTTATGCTTTATATAAAACCCAAAGCTTGATGTACAATTCTATAAGACAAATAACAGGATTGAAAATTAAAATTGGCAGCAAAGATTCTTTTCCAGTTTATTCTTTAGTAAAGATCATGAAGTAAAATTTTTCCTGCGTGAATGAATATATGTTCCAGAGATGAGGGGACAGACCCACCACTGGAATAAGGTAAGAGCAATTCCATTGCTGTCAATGGAATTGTGCCCACTTTCTCCAACAGTGAATTTGACTCAGGAGTATGTCACTGCAGGAAAGCTCTAGTTCCCATTATCATTGAGTTTTAAATTCAGAGCAAATTAAATAGCCAGCCAATTTGCATCTTAAAGGATGATTTGGAACATAAATAGAAGGGAGATCAGAGAAACATGATGTAGCAAGTCCTTTGAAAGTTTCTTAATGTCAGTGAATAAAAAGAACTTATAAATCAATACATGACTTTTCTAGACACCAATATGAAGTTGATAAAGTAGGAGTGATATGCTGCAAAGCTGGCCTAGTTGCAAGAATTCAAGCTATTGCATTCTGGATACTTTGTATCTGGGGAAAGATACAGTTGCATGCTCTGTAAAGCAAAAAGTTACAATACTCTTACATCAACAAAACAAGAGCATTCACAACAGGTTCAAAATCATTCCATCAGAGTAACAATTTCATCCTGACAGTGTTGCACAAATGGCTTAGACAAAACCCTCTCTCCCTGTGTTTAGGTAGGCTAGGGAGATGCCTGAGCTTTCTTGAACTGGCTGTACCGAAAGCTTTATTTTGTTACTGCTTGGCTGAGGAAGAGTGGACAGTACCCACTACTGTCTTCCTGTGTAATGCATGAAATTAAAAAAATCTGCCAGACAGACCAGGGGGTCTCAACATTTTCCTTTCTGAGCCCCCCCTATCCCCCCAGATGGGTTGGACCCCTTGTCTGGGATGCCACCTGATGTACTGGGGTTTAACTGAGACTCTCCTGCTCCACCAGCCTGGATTCCCTCTCCCTGTTTTGCTGAATTAGGCTCTCCGGCCTCTTGCAGCACACACCACAGGTAGGGCCACACCCAGCTGCAGATAGACTGAAGTCAGCTCTGTGTGAGAGGGCTCCCCCAGCACTCACGTACACATCCCTTTGGGGAGATAAATCCAAAAGTATATTGTCTTGCACTGTATAGAAAAATCTGCACAGCCAAAACTCATAAAAATTCACCCTCTTCCTCGATGTGAAGAAAGATGTGCATGACTTCTTGCCCCCCCCCCATTAGAAATTACATAAACTGAGTTTAATAATAAATAAAACAAATTTTATTAACTATAAAAGGCAGATGTTAAGTGGTTAAAGAGAGAGCAAACAGAACAAAGCAGATTACTAAGCAAATAAAATAAAACTCATTAACTAAGCTTGATTCTCTAAAGAAATTGGCTACAAATAATAATTTCTCACCCTAAATATTGATTACAGAAAGTCTTGAAAGGCAGCTGCACTGGCCTTCAGCTTGAGACTTCAGGTATTATTACTCACAAGCCAGACACCCCTCCAGCTTGGGCTCAACCCTTCTCCCCTGAGTTCAGTTCTTGCTTCCAGGTGTTTTTCAGTGTCTCTTTGGGTGGGGAGGCAGAGGAGAACCTCGATGATGTCACTCCACGGCCTTATATAGCTTTTGGGGATGGCGGGAACCCTTTGTCTTCCAGTGGAAAAACACTGGCATTCCAAGGGGTGGGGATCCAGTACCAGATGACCCAGACCCATATCTCTGCAGGGCTCTGGCAGCCATTACTATCGGGCTGCCTGGAGCATCCACAGGAAGACTAAGCCCTTTCATAGCCTATTGTCTTTGCTAATGGGCCATCAGCCCTATCTGGCTTTTCATTGTTGTACCGGCAGGGCTAGTTGTGGGTGACACCCAAAGTAGCACAGTTGTGCTAGACCATTCAAGTACCTCCAGCAAAGTCATGGTCGCTCCAACTGTTTTGAGCAAGAGTCTTCCCTCAGTCTTCATTTTCCAGTAACACTATCTGGGACCTCAATATTAACTTTAACATATTGCTGAAGTTGTCAATGTTTTGTTCTGATCTGAGCTAGCATGTTTTTCATTAGTTAACGGCAAAACTCACTTTTTTCACTTTGCAGGGATTTGTGCAAAGGTTTCTCTTGATTTGTGATTTCCTTCAGTGTGAACTTAAATAGCCTTGGATCATCCCTTTAACATTGCTGACTAGGACTTAGAAAACACAAAGAAGCCCTAGTCCCCAGAGAATCCTTCCCTAACTGGTGTCATCGCAACAGAAACAGCCAGGACAGAAATCTGGGAGCTGTGTGGATACAGATGCGGTCCTGATGGATCAGCGTTATGTAGGTAATTAGTGAGTCTCTGTGCTTTGATTTAAAGAGCAACCAATAAACCGGGACAGCACATACCTTCCAAGTTGTACTTGCAGTTTTGGATTCAGAGAAGCATCACAAACTTTTCAAAGCAAAACTCAGTTAAAACTGCTGCATTTCACCTACTTTCAAGGTGAAGTTATGGGGAAACCTGAGTTTTCCACATGATTTTGTATCAAAGCTGTAAATTGACCCCGTTTCAATTAAAGGCTCCTGAAGCTTAGCAAAGCTTATGATGAACATGGCACAAGTTTGAAATTTGTGATAAAACTCAAAGTTCAGTATAACTGCAGGATTTGTTGAGAAAATGTTTCACGTTGCATTTCTAGTTGGCAGTGTATTAAAACAAGACTTAGATCTTGAATACGCATAGCTGGTATAGCTATATTGGCTGCCACATTCAGATGTCCAAACTATTAGTCCTTGTCTCCACAAAAACTTGCACTAGTTTAGCACTGTTTTAAACTGATTTGATAAACTGGTGTGCAAAACCCTGTGTAGACACTGAACCTGAAATCAGAGTATCTATTTAGCTAAACCAGATTCTTTACCACCTTTAACTAAACTGAAATAAGCCACTTTTAAACTGAAATATATCTACACGTGACTTAGTTTAACTAATCATTGTAAAGCCAATTTAAATTAAACCAGTGTAACTTTCTTGTGTAGACAAGCCCTTATTAGACAAAGTGCCTTCTAGCCTATGGAACTGTCTGGACATTTACAGAAAAGAAGAGTATGTGTTTTATCTAGGAACATTGTCTGATAATACTGGGTATGTCTGCACTGCACATTCCTTATGGCGATGTGTAGAGTAGATATACTACATGCCCCCCAGCACAGATATAAATAACAGCATAGACGGTGAGGCACTATTGAGGTGAATATAGTAACGACATGCCTGAACCCTGTGGGTATGGACTCTAAATGGCTCCCCTTTCTATATTACTATTTTTAGCAGTGTAGCATAGTGTTGCCTTCCCACTGCTGGTACCTTTCATTGATGCATCTAGCTATACACTGCAATGTGGATGCAACCTGCTTTTCACTGTGGCATATAGCTACACATACCCTACGTGCCTCAGATCGTCATGTGCAGCGTAGACGTAGCCACTGAGACAACTGTATTATTCACAAATAGCAAACAAACGGTTTCTGGCAGTGCTGAGCATAGAGTCATTGGAGAGGGATCACATGACATGAGAGGGGCAGGAGAATTTTTTCAAGGATTCTTTTCCCACCCTATTCATCTAAACCCTGTCCAAAAATGAATTGTAATCTGAACATCCAAACAAATGTTGGTCCAGATGCCCTGCATTTCAAAGGTACCCAAATGATGCATTAAATGAGTTGGTAAAGTGTAATTAGTTAGGACTGGAGAAGAGCTGGCAGCTTTGTGTGGTTCCAAGAGTCTGCACTTACAACTGTCTATGCAACATACGAAATGGAAAATCTCTGCAGAGCTCAGGGAGAATATCTAGACAGTATTTGCTGCATGAAGAGCGACCTGCTCTAACTCCCAATTGCAAATATGAACTTACTGGCTGCCTGCCAAGGGATTTGTTTTTTCAGTTGGAGAGGTGTCGTTTTCACTCCCCATGTGGGCATAGTGACAGCAATTGGCCCTTCCGTTAGTTGTGAGATAAACGGTGTCATCGCTGTCATAATAGATCATCTGTTAAAACTGGGCGGTATTAAAAATATAGACAGTACTGAGGTTGGCCCCTCCTAATCTGAATAATTTCCCTCACCAACATTTCTCTTTTGGCACTACGGAATCACTCTCCCATGACTGACTTCACATCCAGGGAGGTTTGGCAATTGGACACCATCATTCAAGATTGGCCCATAATTTAGATTTTGTGAAACAAGTTAAAAAAAAAAGCCTAAACCCAGTAAAATACTTGCATTGTTGTTTTGAAACAGCAAAGTTTTTAAAGAGACAAGGTAGGTGAGGTAATATTTTTTTATTGGACCAATTTCTGTTCTAATATCCTGGGACCAGCACAGCTACAACAACACAACAAGTTTTTAAACTCTTCCCTGCCACCTAAATAACACCCCATCCTGCACAAAGGAAAACTCCTCAAACACACTGTGCTAAGAAGACCTCTTCAATCAGAAGACTCAGGAGAGTTGCCAAGTACAGTGAAACCTTCTTAGTTTTACTGTATGACAGTTCATGATGTTTATAGCAAAGTACAAGGAAAGTACTATATAGTTCTAAGGCAGCAGTGAGCAAGCTGCATTTCTGGTTATAGCAAAGATATTCTGGGCAAGAACTGATTGAGCTTGTTAATGGATATTATAGTGATCTACACTCTTTGGATTCTGTGAGAATAGACACTGAACATGGAAAAGAGGTATTAAAAGGCACAGTAGTCTTGACTTCCAAACACTGGCCTACATAGGGTTGCCACCTTGGTAACTGCTGGTAACCGGACCCTCCAGGGCCTGCCCCTGCCCCGCATCTTCCCTTGAGGCCACGCCCCTTCTCTGCCTTTTCCCCCCAGACCGCACCCCCATTGGTCACTCCTATTCCCCCCTCCTCCCATTGCATATTGGATCATCTCCACCTCCCTTCTCCCCCCCCCCCACCCACTGGCTGGGCTCCCTCT